ATAATTATTGTCCTTAACGGCACGGCGGTAGGTAGGTATAGTATAATGTAAACGGCGCACATTGGGAGCAAACAAACTTTTAGCTAGCCGAAAATGGAAAATATTAGTATCGTATATTTGATTTATAACTTATAATATTTGTCGCCAATGAGTATTAATATATATTAATAATTAAGCACTGAGAAAATAAGAACGGGTAAGGCCTACTTAGATTGTTTAATTTAATGCAAGCACTGCTGAGCACGTATATTATAAATGTTAGTAATTTTTTATATTTCACATTTTTTTACTGTTTTGTTAGTGCATAAATAATATATAAATATCGTAAGACATTTTAAACTTTTTTCCACATATTAGTTTTGGACTAAAATAAACAAAATTTCTGGTTTTTTTTAAAGTATATTCTGTACACACTACACAGCTAAAAGTTTGATTCCTCCCACTGTGCGGCGGTTGTAAAATTGTGTATTTTATGGATGACAATTGATAATAATTGAGTTTAAAATTATACGGGCAACCGTCATTACAAGTTATTACCTTATTAAATCACCGGAACACATGTAAACGCCTTCTGTGATAAACCTCACATCTATCTGATCATTAGAAATAAACTGACGTTTTCGGAATCGACGGAATTCCTAATGATCACGACCGACAGATATATAATAATATATTATGTAACATGCCGTGCAAAGATTTGAATTTACCCCAACATTTTATTTCTGTTCACACTCATTTTTGTGCGATTTAAGTGGAGAAATAATTTTTTTACCTGATTTTTAAGTGTTAAATAAAATTGTTTATTTTTATTCGTTGTGTCCAATCTTATTGTTTTTTTTTTACAAGTATATGAATACAATAGACTAGAAATATGAAAAAAAATATCTATTTTTAAAATTACTTATTTTATTTGGCACTTCCGTACATACTTGGATTCTAAGTGTAGTTTAGCAAATCCATAGCAAAAATTCTGTTTAAATAATTAGTACATTCGTTCACAAGCGATTTTTTAAAGCATTACATTTTGTTTGTACCATATAAAGTTTATTATTTTAATTTTGGTTATGAATCAATTTTATGGAATTTAAACATAATTTTTAACATGTTAGTTGTACGGTATTGACTTATAATAATCTTGTGGTGTATTTTTTCTCAGTGGTATTAATATAATAGATCTTATAGATACTTAACAAGTGTTTGCTATTTTTATTTTAATTCGGCGCTGAAACAAAAGCTCTTTCGCCGGTAATGAGTAAATACGACTGTAATCTCTATAATTGTTATTATCAATTATTAATAATATAATATAAAAGGTCATCGAACGAGTGTTGAATTCGTTAATTACACGGCCGATACGTACAGTGTAATTATTATTTATAATGCGATTTTTGGGATTTCCCAAAGTCGGTCACACACGCCTAGCGTTTCCGACGCTACGCCACGCTGCTGCAGACACTGGTCAAAACTGATTTTGTGGATTTATTTATGAAGACTTGACACACTGCAATTAAGATAAGCGTTTCCTGGAAGCGGGGGTTTTGATTTTTTTTTCATTTTGGGCGTCTAGACGGGAACCCATTCACACTGGTCAATGTCGATAGCATTTGTACATTATCCGCTCCTCACGCGACGACGCACTGTTTCCGGATTGTTTTAAAATTATAAAAATAATAATATTGTAAAAATAAATACTATAAGTCATCGTGTGAAACAATCATCGTAGAAATCAGCGCAAAGAAGAAAGTATTTCGAATATATAAGAAGTTGACCGTTTATTTAGAAGAAAAGTGTCATAAATCAAATAATAACAAATTTTTAAATTAAATTTCACTATTCGACATTTTCTTAGAATAAAACTTTTACCATAACAGAGTACAAGCAAATTTAGTCTACAATAGGACAAACAATGTTTAAGTATACATTTAGAACAAACGGCCGAAAAAGAAAAAAATTCTAAAAGTGTGTACAAATTTATTAATTGTCAAGTAATTAAATTTCTTAAGTACAAGTTGTACTTATTACATCGATAGGACCGAATAACGACAGAGTTCAGCGTTTTTTTTAATTTTAAATAATAAATACACTTTTTTTTTTAAATGACATACCTACCTAATTATTGGAACTTATAAACACAAACGTTTCATAATTAAAAATATGTTGTACGTGCCAATCATATTATATGCTTTTTTTATTCCTTATTCGTTTAATTATTTAAAAATAGTAATAACATTAAATTTAAATTTATCCATTACTTATATGGTCGATTTAATATTTTATATTCTAAGCAATTAATAAATAACGGTTTGACAATAAAATTTTATTTTTTATTTTTATTATTATAATTAATTTAATTTTTGGTTTATCGATAGTAGGCTTTATCTAAAGCATAATTCATGGACATTTAGGAGCTAATTTGACCATTTTCAAAAATGTTATAGAGTGCCACAATTTTCGGCCAAAAAATGTGTACGATATTTGGGCGCTATTAAAATTGATTTTATATTTTCCCGCGCATTTTAAAACCACTAAAAGTAAGCCCGCAGTGTTTGAGTAAACGCTAGGTGTTTAACAGCCTAAGGTAAAACCAAACGTGCCAAGATCAGGTATAGAAGACGTTATCGTACGATACGATTCGTCTACCGCGAGCACTATAAACTTTGTGTGGTATTAAATTCGTTTCGAATATTATTAAGTATAGATAATCTTTATTACCTAGGAAGCTATTGAGGTGTGAAAATACCGAAACAAACATTATACCTATTGTTAAAGTCTATATCACTTGTGCATGAGAAAATCGCACAATATTGTTATGTTACATAACAAATCGAAAATGAAGTCCACCAATAATAACAAAATAGAAATCATTTTTAATTTACACCCATCGAGCTGCATTGAAATAGGTACATAGTATAACAATTTTTTATTTACAAACACAAGTAGGCAATGAAAACGATTTGTAACTATCAGGTTTTCCGAGGTTAAAAATAATTTTTCTTAGAGACAACCCGGACAAACAGTATTATAACGTCTTGAAAATTAATACGGCATGATGACTTATGTCGATGTTCCACAATATTGTGCCGACCTCAAGAGAAATCGTTTTCAAAATCAAATCATCAATATGGCTGTTGGCATATTTCAACCAACGACCTTGTTGTTGATGTATACCTTAATAATAATATATTATAATACGACTGCGGTTGACGAAGGTGTAAACGCGCTAACTAGTTGACAACAATAGTTAGTATTAATATAACATATACGACCAACTCATTATGAATAATCGTTTTTGTTTTTTTGAAATAACAAATCAAATCAAATGTTTAATTATCAAATATAAAAATTTGTTTGTCCGAAAATAGTACCTAATATTCGGTTGTTTTTAGGCAAAACTATATATTTATATTATAGAATTGTATTATTATATTTTAGTATCGTAGAATGTTTATTATGTTAATTTAATACAAATGAGTGTGTTAAAACTGATGACACGCTCTTGTTGAACGATTCATATTAGTTTCACGTTGAATGGTTTTACTATATTGAGATTGTATACATTTTGTAAACCAAATTTATTTCAAACGAATGCAATAATAATAATAATAATAAAAATAATATTGAAATCGATCCGGTTTTATTATATCGGCACACGTTTCTTCTAATACAATATAATTATTATATTATAGCAACAATAGTAAGAATATTTAGAAAGCAACGAATGGACGGCAGTGATATTGATATAACGGTAAACGCAGTCATTAACGTGCGGAATGATCATTAACAACCGTTGAAATAATAATTTGGCGCATTTTTTTTTTTTGTAGAAATATTTCAAAACGAATTAACTAAATCTATAAGAATTTCACTTTTGTGCGCTCAAACTGTGTGTGTGTTTTTTAATGCTACATTTTTATGAATCTAGATGTAGCCCGCGCGTTAGTTAAAACAGAAGGCGATTAAAAATACATCGAAAACACATAAACGTGTAATACGTAGAGTATGAACATACATAAACGTGTATTACTCATAACAATGTGTTGATGTTTTTTTTTTTACAACCCGTTGATGCGTTTTTCGATAGACATCTATCTGGATACACTATTTCGACATTATTACACATATACAATATACATACATATTGTATTGGAATCATTTTGTTATGGTAGTGGTATTTTACAGGAGAACAGTAGTTTTGTGTGTGTATGTGAATGTCCATAATGGGAACGCGTCCGTAATGTTGTCGGGTTTAATTGTCGTCTGGCGCCAACAAACTGTATATTATTATATTATACTACTGCTACTATATGGGCGGCCGTGGCGGTGGACGTTCGGTTTTTGGTGTTTTAATAAGATTTTCCCCTCGCCAAGAGACGCCGCCGTGAGATACCATCACAAGCCGTAGGTACGCTATCGTGGTAGATTCCATACGGTTAATTACCTAATTAATTTCAACACACAAAAAACAGAACAAACCGTTTACGGTTTTAGGAATAATTACCAAACGCGGCGCCAATAGCTAATAGATTTACAGAAAATAGTTTAAATAGAATGTAAAAATTAATATCCGAGTATATTTGTATAATATAAAGTTGGGAAAAAATTAATTTCAATAAACCTGATAATCCCCTCCCACGTGTCCCTCGAAAAAGCTAGAACTGAATTGGCGCGTTGCATTTAGGGCTTAATAAAATATTCTAATGCAAAAATAAGTGTCGAGAAAATTGCTCGACGGCAAATATAAAAATAGACGGTCGGCGATATACAAAAGATAAGTGCACTATATAGGTCGTATTACCATACTGGATGATTGTTTGATAACATGTCGGTTTTATTACAATCGGTATAGACGATAAAACATAATTCAAAAATAGTTCTATTATCTATATTAGCCAACCCGCTGGTTAGAAGGAGCAAGGTATTACACATTATCAAAATAAAATAATATGCTTAATTAATACTGGTTTTTCTTTTAAACATAAATCTATTATCGTACTACCGACCTGCCAGATTTGGTGATGACCATTTCGGTGCCCAACTTGTGGAACTTTTCCCACAGATCTTTGCCCTCCAGCGTGACCTTCGGGTCGTCCACAACGCCGTCGTCGTCGGGTCGGACGGACCTGGGTAGTGCGGCGGCCGGATGGGGATGGTGGACGCCGTGCGCGACGGCCGCGGCCAGCGCCAGCATCTCTTCCGTCGGGTAACCGGACGCGGCTGGATGATGGGGCGCGTGGTGGTGCATTTTGGGCATGGGTATCATGGTGCCCGGGTAGCAGGCGCCCATATACGCGGCCGCCGCGGCCGCTGAAAGTCCAGGCTGCGGAGGTGGCGGCGGCGGGTAAGCCGACGGCGGTTGTCCGTTGGTGTTGTTGGACGCCGTCGAACTGTTGTTGTTGTTGTTGGTCAGCAACGAGCTGACGGAAAAGTCGGTGGACGCCGCGCGGGCCGTGAACGAGGTGTCCGGCGAACGCTGTCCGCCGGTCATCGCCGCCGCGGTTTGAGGGGTGTCCGGCGCCCCACGGGGTGACCGGCACCTGAGGTCCGCTTGCTCGAACCGCATAACAGCCACGCCGTCCGCGCCGTTACCGTTTGCCCCGGCCACTACGGTGGACCAGACTTCTGCACGAGCATTCACTGACGACTTGTACGATTATTGTGTGGAGTTCGGCGACCGGTCGACGATTCGCGGAACTTTCGATCATGCACACCGCGGTCACAATCGTCTCGTGTATAGTTATTGATGTATAAAAAAAAAAAATATATATATATATATATAACGATAAACGTCTATTGAGTGTCGCGAGGAAGTACGTACGGTAGCGGCGGATCGGAAGTTGCGGAAGGGATGCGCGTGAACGATTTTCGGGCGAGAAAAAAGATTATTGTGAGTTTTCTGTTGCTGTACGCGGGGGATAGCGGTGGCCAACGACGGAATACTCGTGTACGACTACACCACGGTGAGCGCGTTCGGTGCCGACTGACTGTGTGGCGGCGGTGGCGATGTGACAACACCGACGCCCCGGTCCGAGTGTTAATGAGAGTCGCGTCCGGATTGGTCGAGAGCGGCCCGGCCAATCGGCAAGCGTCGACGGTTTCACGCAACGGCGTCAACACACACACACACACAAACACACACTACGCGCAGTTCTCGTATACGGCCGGTCGGTCGATGTGTGTGTGTGTGTGTGTACGTGCGGCACAGTGGTAGGGGGCACAGCCGCCGCCGCCGCCGTCACCGTCGCCGGTCAACGCTTGCTCCGACGGCGACGGCGACGACGACGACGCCGGTGTTAAAATACGGCGCCCACCCTATATGTGTCCGACGTAACGACCGGAGGACTTTTGGCGCCCCCAACCCCTCCGCCCACACCTCCTACTTTCACGCACCCGGAGCCGCCGGCCAGCAGTACACTGGGGGCCAATACACGCGCTCTGTTGCACTCGCACTCGCACACGCATACACGTACACACACACGTAACACTCGACGTCCAGCGTTCTCTACAGCCACCGCCGCTGGTTTTTATCCTACGCTTATGTCTATACATTTCACTTAAATGTTCAAATCGACTTAAACGTTGTGTTTTTCTTTTCAGCTTTACTTTTAATTTGTTCCAAATATCAATCCGTATCGAATGAAATCCAATTATAGTTTAAATAAATAATAACTGGGAAATAATAGTATTTTTATTGAAAAAAAAAAAACGCAAGAGAAAAGAGAGGAAAAAGAAGGCCGAAAGAAGGTGGTTAGATGCGATTGAAAATGATACGAGGACTGCTGGTATATATGCGAAGGTGATCGCGTCGAAATATGGAGGTTTAAGAACAAGAATACTACTGCCGATCACAAATGAACGGGAGGAAAGCGATGAAGAAATATTCTAACACATATTTTTAATGAATAAATTAGCACACTTTTTTTGCTTTTGCTTTTACAAGTCATTGAGTCATACCTTTGCAGTTTCCACTTAGTGTTTCTACCGATTAATTATACTGAAATTTTAATGGTTATCGTTCAATACTTGATATGATTAAATGACTGAACATTTCTTTTCTTTTAGTTTAATAATTGAAATGATTAAAAATGATTAGTATTATAAATTAAAATTACATTTATTTATATCAAGTCTCCCCGAATATTGTTTTTAAATAATTTTGTTGTAACTGTACGATTTGGCCTTATTATAAACTATGTCTTTAACTAAATTGTAAATACTATGTAGTTAGATTTAAAAAATGTTGTTTTTAAGATTTAGCAGAGGGATTGTCTCTTTATCTCTCTTTTAAATTACCGTTGTCCTTCTGTGTTATCTTCCTTCAATTCCTTGTATTTAATTTTTAAATCAATTTTTTTAAGTGTGTCGAGTCTTAATGTAGTTTATTTTATATTATACACTTGACGAAAAAAAACTATCAATTTGAATAAACGTTATTTATCAACCCTTAATAAAACTAAAATAATTGTATTCGTATAAAAAAAAATCTGTCAATATAGGATAGGATAGGATAGGTCATAGGCTGGGATAGGAGAAATTATTACTTTGATATAAATTGTATTAAATTGATAAACAATGAAATTTTTAATAAATGTATCATTGATACAACGTACCTTTCGATTGCCGCGATAAAATCTTTGTTATTAATACAATGCATTATTATGTTGATATAACAATGTTTGGAGGCCATAGAAGTATACGTATAGGTATATGGTATTATGTAAATGTATTTTTAACATTATGGACGGTCAAAATTTATGATCGGATAAAAACAGTAAATTTTGATATATACTTGGAAAAACCGTTATCAATTTTGATATATAATAACAAGCACAATTATTATGTTCTGTATAATATTTTCCATACTTATATTTTTTTAAGACACTAAATACTTTCTAATTAATAATATGTATGCTATGCAAAAAAATTATCATAGATAATAGTTATAATTAATACATGTTTTTTTAACGACACACATGTATTAATTATAACTGCAAATGTCTACACGTATATATACCTATAAATATATGAGTGTAATATTTTCTACATTCCGGGTACACCGATAAACAACTCATATAATATCAAGACAGATAACATGCCAATAATTATGTTTTTGGCATAATTTTTTCGCATTGAAGTATTTTTTTTTTGTTTTCCATTTAGCTAAATAGAATAACTTTTAAAATTCTATTCTATTTACATAGATATTTAAATAATATTACATTGCTCGATGCTATACACATACAATGAATGTATGACATACTGTGAGTCCTTGCCTATAAATAAACACTGCGTACACACGCTCATATAGTCTTGGCAGTTCTGTCATCCGTGCATTGAAAACATACCCAAAGTACCGCTGTGCTATCGGCGAGTTTGAAAGAAGCGCAAACAAAACAACATTAAACAATGCCGTTATGTAAAATGCGACATTGGGTATTTAAATATATAATTCGCGTTTCGACCGCGGCTCGTTCGCAACACAATTACCGATTCAGGTACACGCCTCGAAATAAGGTATGGAATAAGATAATAATAAAAATCGTCATTTACAAAACGGCACACAATTCATCACGATGCCACCTCGGATTTTGGCAGTGTTTTTTTGTTCGGCGTTTTTGATGTACCCGCAACCCGTCACTTGAGTATTCAACCCACGAAAAGCGTTTTGAAAATAATACAAAATATATAAAATATGTTTATGAAAAATATAATAGAAAGTACCCAACAAAGAAATCTAAATAATATGTACACAGTATGTATAGCCCATGGGTATCTACTTACATAGGTTCATATTATGTACACATACATAGAGTAGTAGATACCTACTACTCAAAAACTTAGAATGATTAAAATAAATGTATTTATATATTATATTCTCAAAGTGCGTGCAAGTTTTATATTTTATTCCAATCACATAGTATAGTATGTAAACTATTTTTTTATTATATTAGGTATTATTATTATTATGTATGTATACAGTTACATCAAACGCACGCGCATTTGGATGTAGAGCACATTTATAGACAATGTTTCCTCATATAAAGACATACACGAATAACGATTATTATACAAACACATTTAATGTAGTTCGATTTGGCTGTATATTCGGTCAAGTGAAGTGTAAGTACAACACTAGTTGGTCAATATAATACGGTAGGTACGCAGAAAGCGGTTTGTTGTTATTAGTAGTTCGTGACATATATTTGTACTATGTTTGATGTACAGAACCAGTGTTTGTTGGAAGACACCTATTTATATGGCTTCGTATCATATTTTACTAGGTATTTGTGCGTGGTCTGCGCTTCGAGTAATCCCGGTTGAGTTGTACTTGCCGGAAAAAAAAAACACTACAAAATTATTCAAACGAGTACTTATATATTATCTAAGAACTATTGTTTAGTTGCAGTTATCAACAAACTGATTTTCTATTGTTGTTAACATATATGTATAGTGATATAAGTACATACATTTTTTTGCATAATATTCGTCTTACCGCAGAATTCTGTCTTGGGTCACTGCGTGTACCTCAAATGCTCGAGGGCTTATACAAACGAAAGGTACCTATTATATATGATAAAACCTTGATTGGTTATAATAATTCCAACCATACTGGGTCGTTTTTTTACAACTACACATTTTTCCTCGTGTCTCCAAAGACTGCGGCTGGAGTGTATTTAATATTTTAGGCGATTTATGGGGCCAGAAGAGCCAGTGCCCCCCCCCCCCCCCGGAGATCCGGTCTTTGGTAACCGGTTTCCATGTTGTGATCTTATTATATGTACACCACCGCCGTTGTCGCCAGACCCGAAGGTCGCGTACAGATAATAGTTTATTTTTAATTTGATTTTTATAGCCGCTGTCGATTCTGCTGCGGCGGCATCGTCCGTCGTTTATACAGGGTGGTCGTGCGTTGCACAGAAGCTACAGTTCACATATTTACTTATATATATTAAAATAAAATGCACGTATATGATCATAACGCTGTAAAGAGATGGAAGACTGCTGCGGTCGATGTACCTCTCTGGTCAAAAGGAAATCCAGCAAAGCGACCATGGAAGTACGTACACACAAGATTTGAAATGTAACTATTTCTTTTGTTCCAAATTTTCCTGGTCAAATCCACCGAGTATGGTACCTACTGGCTACTGTTATTTACAATCAAGCGTTGCAACAAGAAATACAAACTGTACAGTCGGTGTAGTTCAATATATTATTCAGTCATGTCGTGCAAAGTCCACGGGTGGACCATGGCTCAGTAGGAAAATTTAAAGGCGGTCCAAAAAATTAAAAAATATTTTTTTTTTATTTATCGTAGAAACCGGACTGGCATGAATATGAGAGTAATGATTTAACCTATTATATATATATATATATATATATAAAAGTGCTTGCCCCCTACCCTCCCTAAATACAGTTCTGCGTTATAGGGCTAGACGCTGATATTATACTTCATGTCCTATGCGTGCATTCTTCCTGTATAAATAAGGTTCTTAATGTCGGGAAAAAAATATCAGACGAAGTTATTTTTTGGCAATCCGGCGCAGCATGTGAACCTACTGTGCAGACTTCACTGAACTTAATTGTGCCATTTCACTTTCATTGAAAATCGCCATAGTGCGCAAATAAACCGCGACCATTTTACTTTTTGTGTGTTTATTCACCGTTTCCGTTTTGATATGTATATCATTACAATACAGGGTGGTTTATAATGTCATACGAACGGTCAACATTTTATCAGCATATCGGGCGATGGAATTGACCTTGACACCATACAAAATTCTATTCATTCGGTGGTACCGCACATGGTTGGACCGGTGGAGTGATCGGTTAGGGGAAAATCTAAAAATATACCAAACTTCTCTTATCATTTTTTTATAGTTGCATAAAGCGTTAAACGCAATTCGCAGAGTTCAAGACATGTTGTTGCCGATCAAAAGGAATACATATATTTTCGACTGGCCAGTGTACTTACCTCTCATAAGACAGTTGTTTTCTATAAGAATAATAGCAGTCTTATTTAATATAATATAAATCGTTGTACTACGGTTCTAGAAATATTGGACTAATATTTCACTTAAACAAAAG